ATTATCTTTTGCTTCTTTTGTTTCTACAAGTAGTATATTCTCGATATTTTATCCTTCGGTCTGCGTTCTTCTAAGGCTTGTAACCCTGATATGTTTCTGGAAACGTTCAGCTATCAAACGGATCGAATTTTAGCGATCGCGATTCAGGAAGTCGGCGCAAATTGCTAAATGCCTGATATAAGGATGCGTTGTCAGCATCGCCGGCGCTAAATCTGTGCAACAATTTATTCTCGGGATCCCACGTAGAGTTTGTCGGTTTATACGTGCGAGGAATGTGTTGTTGTTGCTGCTGCTGCTGCTGCTCCCCCCCTCGATTATTGCCAAAAACGAACTCGTTTCCTGAAAGCAAACATTTTCACATTTTTATCGAAGATTCGGTTCGCAACTGATCGATAATAATCGCTCGGTCTGTTTTACCTTGGGCAGGGGACAGTGATCGTGGCGGTGTTCCAACAACAGGTGACAAGGGCTCGTACGGCGGTGGTGGAGGTGAAGAGGGGGACGGTGTCGGGGAGTGTTGCTGCCTCGAAAGAAGATCCGGGTCGAGTTCGAGGATCCTTAGAACTGTTCGAGAATTTGCTCGAACCCAGGATTCGAACAGGTCTACGGGCCAGTCGGTCTGCGTGGACGCGTCCAACATTCTCCTTGGTGGATCCCAGCATATAGCGTCCGGCGGATGGGACGAGCTTCTCGCCAAAACTCCGCTCCCACGACTCGCGGGGGTTGGTAAATTCGGATTACTTTGAGGCGAACACGCTAATATTTGTAGAGCTTGTATGGCATTTCTCACCTATTTTCATTTTTTTTTTTTCGTGAATACCAAGTGTCAATAATTTCTTTCTTTCGTTTCTTTTTTTTTTCTTTCCGATTTTCATCAGAGACGAAACAATCTCGTTTTACCTCGCAACTCAACGTGGCAACGTCTTGGTGCAACGTGGAAAATTGGGTGTCCAGCCGTTCCACGGATCCTCGGATGTGCTCCTCCATCGATTCTTGAGCGATCACTTGAGCCGCCCTTCCTCCTCTCACCAAAACTCCCCTCGCAGGCCTTCTCGCCTCTCGATACTCGTCCCTGTTGAATATATTTGAAAGGATTTTTCTCCTCCTCAAGATTGGTGGGTAAAATAAATTTACCTGAATTTGGCGTGTCTCGGGCTCGAGGACGTGTGCAAAGGTGATTTGTTGGGCGGCGACAGGGGCGACGTCTCCCCCTCGTCGGGCACGTTTTCGTCGTCCTCGCTGATGGAGGGTAAGGTTAACGACGGCCCATTCATATCCGATTCTTGCTAAAATTAAAAACAATTTGGAAAATTTTCCGCCCGAATCGAGTCGACCGAGCCTTCTTCTTCTACTCTCCCCGCCCCTCCGTCTACCACCCCTCCGCTATCGACAGCGAAGAGCTGGAATATAAGGGAAGATGATTTGTACCTCGGCTTCGTATCCCTCCCGTAAATTGTAAGTGAGATCGTGTTGTATATCATTTGCAAACTGATGCTGATACTCGGGATACAAACGAAGCACCTCGACTAATCCATGCATATTTATGCACTTTAAATCGCAGTAGGTTAACGCTTTAACGTCGCAGCTCGATTTCACTACGACATCCGCGGCACCTCCCCCGCCTGGCCCACCTCCGTTACTCGTGTGCTGCAGGTGAACGTTTATGTCACAGCCCACCAGATCGCCTTTACCTTCGAGCGAAAGGTTCGAATTCAAATATGCGATATTTCGTATTCGCGTAAAAGCAAGGAGTGTGAAAACTATTACTCACCTAAGATCGCAACTACCATGTTATTCTGCACTACTTCCATGGAACCGTTGCACAAGTAATATATGTAAGAGAGCGCGTCCCCTTTGTGAACTAAAAACTCGCCGGGGGCGCAAAAATTATTTTTAATTCGGAGAGAAAGTAATTTGAGACAGCCCTGGGAGGCGGGCTCGAATATGGGTAAATTTAATATCTCGCGATGTAAGTGCATCGAAACATCTCCTCGCAGCTCCTCTGGAAATTGTTTCAGGGTCTGAAAACGCGTGGACGCGTTTAATTGTCGGGAATAACGCAGAGTGATTAAATTATGGATAGAATCGATGGACAATATCTCGTCACGATCTGTTATTACAGTTTATATTCACCTCGTGTATATCGATACCATGATTCAAGGACCACATAGTTTGGAAATAGTCTTGCATACGTTGTTTCAGTTCTTCGGGGATCTGATGCAATACGAAAAAATCCTTGAGATCCCGCAATTTTGTTTGGTACAGCGATCTTCTAGAGTAAATTCTTTGAATAATTGCAGTCACGTTACCAAAGACCACGGCATGCATCAGAGCTGTAGCATACACGATATGTACAATGTGGAAATAATTCCTATTTGTGTAAAAATTTCCATTCAAATTTATTCCGTATTAATTAACATCATTCGCCCCTAATTTCACGTGTATGCAAATTTTTTTCTTTTCTTTTTCTTTTTTTCTAATGATCGAAAACGAACGAGCACATGCGGCACACAACTGAACGCTTCGATTAAATTATTGATTGATCCTTTACTTTTACTACGGAATAACGTGTAACATTATTGATCGTTTACTGACCACCAATCAGCATCGTGCAAATGGAGAAGAACTTCTCGGAGAACGTATTGGCCGAAACATTCCCAAATCCTACCGATGTCAAGCTGCTGCACGTGAAATACAACGCTGTGATGTAACTTTCCGCGTGGGTCACGTTCTCGACCGAGATCTTCAATTTTTCCGCCAACGTGTGAATCCAGCCTGGAAAATGTGTGCCAATCAAATGCCGATCGAAACGAAGATTTTTATCGCTTAGGGATATACGTCTCCCGAGTGTGGGAAAAATCGATAAATATTCTTAATTTAAACCGAGTCTCTCTTCAATTATGTCGACCTTCGTGCACCCTTAAAACCTGGATATATAAAGATCGAATCTCTGCTAGAGAACGAGTATCGAGAGGTCAGCTGATTTAATCGTGCCTGCGGCGAGGTAGAATTCTCGGCCCACCTCCGGTTTTTAATCAACCGTTTATTCATTTAAGTGACGCCGATTCACGTTTTCTCTCCTATGGGAAAAGTGAATGTGCAACTCTTGGGGACACGCTTCCCAAAAACAAAGTTTCTCTTCCAGATAGATCTGATAATAAATTTGTAATAAATTGAAGCTCATGGAAGAACATATCCTATAAATGCTCCAATTCTCTATTTAATTTAAATGAATAACAAAATCATATTTCGTCTAATATGAATATATATATTATTAAAAAATAAAACGAGACGATGTATATTTAAATACGTTGTATAGAAATAGGTTACCAGGTGTTTCCTGCGGTTTTATTTAGAGGAGAGGAGTAAAGATAAGATCGGTTGTCAAACGCTCGACTTCAAACAAATCTTCGTATATTTTGGTAAGAAGGATTTTGTTATTGAAAACTTACCGAGGTCCCAGTCGTTGTCGTTTCTCAATCTCTCTTTCTCCGCGATAACGAACCAGATGCAGGCCAGCCAGTGGGCCACCAGGATGAAGAACAGCATTAACATGGTCAGAATCACGGCGCTGTACTGCGAGTATCTGTCCATCTTTTGAAGCAATCGCGCCAGCCTAAGCAATCTCGTTAATTTCACCAAATGGATGTTACCGTGCCCCGATTCCTGATGAGAGAAGGAAAAAAAAAAAAAAAGGAAGAGAAATACACTTCGTTTACGCTTCGAATCGAGGCTGGAGACTCTTGTCTACATCGATAATGTAAATAAACTAATATCAAAGAGAAGATCAATACATCGAATCGATGATATATGCGTGTTTACATAAAATACTTGCTGCTTTCTAGATTGTGCCATTCAGCGCGGAGATACGTCGTTCGAAGCGTCGTATCCGGCAAGGACACGCTCGAGGAATCGGTATGCCGTACAATTTAATAATACATCGACCTCTGCTAAACGAAGCTTCATTCAGTTCAGAGTTCGGATATTGCACAACTGGTATCTCGTTTTCCTTACATTTCTCGTTCGAGCATCGACGTTTCACACTGGACGTGAAACTGTTGTTTCGCGTGTATGTACAATATACGTAGGATAGTTTGAAGATCAAATATGTAAATAAGAAGAGAAGGTAACCGACTCGTTTTAATCTCTGTTGTCAAGATTATCGAACGGTGTTATAAAAACAATTTACGTTATACATATATAATTTAAAATTAATAAATTTTGGTTTTTTTGGCATCGATCCAAGTTTAATTTCGAGGTGACGTTTTTGTCAAGAATGATAAACGTAAAAATCAACGAAGACCGTGTCTTTTCGCAGGTAATTGAATGGCGTGATTATAATCGAATTACTCACCTCGCCGCTGTAAACGTCGGACGCGTAGAGGAAATCGAAGGGCAAGGCGGCGACAAGATCGACGAAAAACCACCCCTTCAGGTAGTTGACAGCGATGCTTTTGCTGTTGCTCACCACTTCACCCTTTCTGCTCACGTAAGTCGTCCTAAAGTTCAGAACGATATCTGGGGGAAAGATGATTCGATCGTTTTCTTCCGATATTTCGTAATCGCGATGTTTCGAATTACTAAATTATTAATGCCACACCAAGGATTGAACCAAGTTGGAAACTTTTGTATATTGATCGAAAATGATATATCTTTCTTTCTTCCTTCCTTCCACCTTCCTCGTCATGGATGTGCATCGTTTATTTCGACCAACAGTTGGAATAGTTTCGTACAAAGTTGCCAAGCATTTCTTCAAGGGATATGATAAATTTAAGAGGAAGAAATGAAAGAAAAAAGGTGTAAAGAGAGATAGAATCTCGTTGAACACCCATGAAGAGCTCTTCGAACATCTTGTTACTCGATATTCAATTCAGGTATTGAATCAATTCAGTGTGTTTGTAGAGCGATTGTCACGTTACTTAAAGACAGTGACTTTATTCCAGATAAACCAGATACGATGAATACGGTTACACAACGTTTATATAAATTACTCTCTTATCGATTTCCTTTTTTTTTTTTTTTTTTAGAAACGAATAAACTGAGGTAATAGTATAAATTTTTTAACATAACGTGGAAGGAAACCGCTTCGAGTGACGAGTAATTGAAACCATCGATTATTTATAGGTTGAAATCGTTGCTTTCCTTACTTAACGAGCTCCTCGAATCGCGAATCGGATAAAAAGAAAAAAAAAAAAAAAAAAAAAAAAGGAAGCTTCCTCCCCTCGTTTCTTCTTGATTATTCTAAAAGCATCGGTCGATATTCGATATCCAATCGAGTATTTGAACAATTAATCACTTTTTATCGCGAGAAAAATTCTTCAAAACTCTCTCAACGATTGGTGAAATTAGATGATTAAGTTTCGATCTATCTTACCGGTTATAAACAGCGCCTCGACGACCACGTCACTGACCATGGTCGGCCTGTCGATGTTAATGAAGCTCGCGTTGAAAGGAACGACGATCGCCACGTAAAACGTTGCGAGGAGTATCAACCAATCCCAGCAAGACTTGAAGCCGCCGTAGTGGCTCAAAATGAATTGAGATTTTTTTATCCCCGTCGTCTTATACTCGGGCAACGGTGGCGCGGTGGAATGAAGAAGATTCTGCAAATCATCCCTCCACAATGATAGACCCACAGAGTTGTCTGTCCATAACCGTTCCTTGTTAAAATTACGGCGACTAATGCACTTACATTATTCAATTTAATTTTGTGCTTATTGTCCTGCTTGTAATGGCCCGACAATTGATAAAGGACGGCGCGACTCCTTCTTCTGCCGTAATTAGCCGGCGGTGCTTCCGGGTCGAGGCCACCTTTTGCATCTGAAACGTTCAATCGTACACGTCACTTTCCTCCCAATGTTTTTTAAACTGTACTACGTGATGTGCGACTAAAAAAAGGGGGGAGGAAAAAGTGCGCGTGTGTACGTGTGTGTAACCTCGATTATCAAAAAAAAAAAAAAGCGACACGAGATTTATTTGGTATAATAACTTTTCTTCGCTGATCGTTCCGTTGACGGTGAGTTCTTCTTCTTCTTCTTCTTCGTAATCCAAGGATTATTGTTTCTCGTTTCGAAAGAAACAGAGAGAGAAAAACAGTGCGAAGATAATACAATATACGCTCCATTCGGATCGATTTTTCTAAACAACACGTGCAATTATTATTTAAAATTTCTCGTTTAAACAAGAAAAGTGCAAACTGTTGGAAGCAGTTGTTTGCTTGGTTGACATTTCGTGCTGCGTATTCAGAGTGTTTTTTTTTTTTTTCAGAATGCCTTGCAATAACATTGCATTGCAGGTGCGTGTAGCGTGTAGCGTGTAGCCGCGGTGGTGTAGGAGGCACGAAACGTTAGACACGTTTGAAAAAAGTATGTACGGGAAACGTTTAATCCATACCCGATGTATGGGCCCGTGCTCGTATACTTTGGAATGCAATTCATCAGTGACGTCGATCGAAATGCATTCCAGAGAAAAATCGTTTCGTCAGAGACTGAGTTCAGCAGCGAAGCTTGGCTAGAACTCACCACTATCTTGCAACTCACACAGCTGAAGGTTCTTCGTGTGGGTGATGTCCTTGTGCGAGGCCAGGAAGAGAACGACGTCGCCCTTCTCGTTTTTGATCGGCACAATATCGAGCAAACAGTCGAACGGGCTCCCTGGAGGCGATTAAAGGCAATTAAAAGTCAAAGATCGTGACGGGATTTTTCCATTTTTCTCCCAAGATCAATGGTGAAGATAAAAAGAAATGGTAGCAACGATATTATTGAAAGCAGTTGTAACCGATAGAATCGATTCGATAGATTATCTCGATTAAACGTGATTCCCAGTTTGCACCTGCGCTCGCCGGTTTACTTCCGTGCCGTCACGATTAATAACGTTTAATAACGCGGTTTAATAAATCATGTTTCGCTCGTAACGTGCAATTAAATAATCAAAATCCAAGAGGAGTATCGTCGTGTCTTCGTTAAAATTCCTCGTTAAAAATTTTAATAGAAGGAAAGTAGAATAAAAAATCGTGGAAACTCACGAGGCGAGTTGATAATTAATTATTCGATAAATAAAACTTCGATATTTACGGTCTTCTACACTTACCGTTCTTTTTGTAGAACACGACTTCCATCTTCAGCTCTGTTTTGCTCTCGAGGCTCTTGTCGATCATCGCCCTTTCCTCTTCTTTCGTTTCCGGGCCATAGAGGAATTTGCAAGCGCAACCCTTTTGCATGATTTGCGCTCGCGCGAATCCTGTCAGCTCGCAGAAACCGTCCGAGCAATAAACGATCGGATAGAGGGACGGAACCTGGGCATTTCCCAGCACAAAATTGCTGTCTGCCAACAGAGAAACAGGCGCCATAATCCCGATTAATCGAACGGAACGCGTCGTGATTCGTGTGAAATTTTGCTCTTTGTTTGAAAAAGGAGGCATTTCATCATTTCGTATTTCTCAACAATACGAATTTTATTGAACCAATTAACTTTGCCCGGAATTTCAATTACCAGTTTGATGAATCAATTTATCATTTGTGTTTTCGGTTTTTTTTTTTTTTTTTTTTTTTTACAGTTTAGTACTAAATTGAGT